ACTTTGCCATAACCAGCTGAGTTCTTATGATATATTCCTGCGGCCCGCAGCAGGACATCACACACAAAGCCGAGACAGTGAACTAGAAATGATTGAAATCATTAAACTTTCACAGCCCAACCCCAGTGACAAAATCCCCTCAGCAAGGCCACTGTCTTAGGGTTTCGATTACTGTGAAGAGATACCATGACCATGGCAACTCTTATAAAGAAGATTTAATTGAGGTGGTAGCTTATGGTTTCAGAGGTTTAATCCATTATCATCCTGGTGGGACATTGAGACATGCAGGCAGATGTGTTGCTGTAGAAGGAGCTGAGAATTTTACATCTTGATACACAGGCAACAAGAAAGTGGTCTGAGACACTGGGCGTGGCTTGAGCATATGTGAGACATCAAAGCCTGCCTCCACAGTGACACACTTCTCCCAAAGAGGTCATACCCGATTCAACAAAGCTACACCTCCTAATAGTGCCACTCCTTTTGGGGGCCATTTTCTTTCAAACCACCATAGCTACCCAGCCCAAACCTACCCAAACAACACCACTCACGGGGGACCAAATGATAAAAAGATGTGAGCCTTTCGGAGACAAGTTGTAATTAAGGCCATCACATGTGCATCTCTTCGTAGTTACCATAGAGCCTGTTTAATTCATTCTCCCACGCCTAATACTACACAAGTACTGGCGTCTGTGTCGCTAATTATTAAAACTCATGCTCAATCATTGCACTGAAGAAAGAAATAAAGACAATATAATTTCCTTATGGTGACTGAAAATAGCTGTATGAACTTCAGAAACAGCTTCCTCATAAATCAGTGTCCATCATGTGAGCATAAACTCTTCCTTCTGTTAGAGGTTTGCACTTTGGTTTCTGACATGATCTGTACAGGAATAAACATTCCTACTAAGAGAAAGGAGGTCTTCATACTCCACAGTGACAATCTGGCTTATTCCACTGGACTTATTTGATATTCTCATGAAGCTATTTCTGATACCTTTGCATCTACGGATGAATTATTTTTGCGTCCTGGTTTGCAGAAACCGAGGGACATTCAAGGCAGATACTCTCAACTCTGTAATTATTGTTGCAAGGGGACAATTTCAGGATCAGAAAGGAAATTGAAGAAGACCAATCAAAGCTCTGCATAGGGAATTTCACAATGGATGATGGGCCAGGAGTCATTACACACACTGATGTGCTCAGCAGGAGCTGAGTCCCTCCACTTGGAAGAGGAGGGGGGCAGGTAAGCAAGAGCTCATAGCACACCTGGCCACAAAACCTTGCCCGAGCTTACGAAAAGGTGGGGAGAGGTGAATGAAGTTCTTGTAGAGCCTTCACAATACCAAACTGCTTACACAGATTAATGGATGAAAGTGTGGACAAGGACTTACAGATCAAAAAGATCCTGAGATAGGGTCTGGGATTTCTTTGCAAGTAAACATCACATAGCTGGACTTTTAACTTCGTTCAATAATTTAAAGCATCTCTGTGTCCCTGACCTACTCACTTCACTATACGGATTCCAGAGTCTTATCCATGTACATGGAGTACTTATGTGTGTATGGTGCTGGGTATTAAAGCCAAAGCCTCCATTGTAATCAAGGGCTTTCTTTAACCCTAAGATGTGGTGATATTTTAGTTGTGCTGAAATGTGGTATTTTATTTGTATGTTAATAAGTAAAGTTTGCCTGGAGATCAGAGGTCATAGCCAACCATAAACAGAAGTCCGGTGGTGGTAGCACACGCCCTTAATGCAATCACATGGCAGGCAGAGTCTCTGTGTATTCAAGAACACAGCCAAGCATGGTGACATTCCTTTAAGACCCATAACAACCATAGAGACCCGGAGGTCTGTTTAGACAGGCAGTGACGAGGAAATGAAGTGGCCAGGTTAAGAGCCAATGAGAAGGCAGAACAGCAAGGCAATGAAGGGGCAGGTTAGACAGAAGGAAGCTGGCTCTCTTGAGAAGCCACGGGCCACGTGGTGAGCTAAGGTAGGTTGGCAGCTATTGCTCTGATCTCTAAGGCTTTCACCCCTGTATTTGGCTCTGTGTTTCTTATTTAATAAGACTGTTTAGAAATTCGTCTACACTAAGATGCTCCCTAACCCTTTTTGTACTTTGAGACAAGGTCTCTTCATTTTGCCTAGATTAGCCTTGGATTCGGGGCCCTCCTGTCTTAAGCTCCTGAGCAGCTCCGACAACAGGGGATGCCACATAGGCTGGTTTCAAGACTCATCTTAAAGAGATGGTGGTCATTTGCACTTTTTTTTTTTTTTTTTGCTAAATTATTGTAAAGTAAAATGGAGTCGATGTGAACTTTATACATGGAGGTAAGATTCCATGATAAGTTGACTTTAAGTTTTGAATCACAACAATACTGACCAGAAGTAACCAGCAAACTTAATAAACACTACCGTCACAGGCTTGACATCACATTCAAGCATGTCCTGTAGTGAATTCAGCATTTTAAAAGCAGCCTGACTCCCTGTGTCCCTGGGCAGAAGCTGATTCTCTTCTCCCATCCTCAACTACACTAAGAAGGGCAGAAACCCAGAAACTGTACAACCAACCACTCACTGTCTTTGGGATCCCGGCACGCCTTCGCACAGACTCGTGGGAAATGTAGTCGCGCCTACTGTGATGTCACAAGGAGACGCGTTGGAAACCGCGCTTCCGGCCTGCACACGTGGATCGTTCCCAGAGTTGGTCAAGATTCGGGTCCTGCTCAGTACTTGGTGTGCATCTCTGACATGGAGGTTGGTGCAGGGTGCAGCGTGACCCCGCCGGCCCCTAGGCGGGGTGGAGGGCGGGTCCGGATCTGAGAGGGTGCGCTTGTGAATGGGAAGCGGGAAGAAGCTGACTTGGAGGTGCTGTGCTGACCTCGGCTGGGTCAAGCCCCGCAGGATGCAGGTCAGGGCTGCGCAGAGGGCAGTGGGGTTGGTCCTGAGGGTGACTGCTTTGTTAGCACGAGGCTTCTGGCGGAGCCCACCCCGTGCTTCTGGGATAGGCGAGCTGGCTCAGGGCCCAGGAGTGAGAACTGCAGGGAATCCTGGATTGCTCTTACTGGGTGCGGCTGCTGACATCCCTGCGCCTGAGCCTGTGCTGGGAGCTCACTAGTGAAACGTGCTGCCTTTACCTAACTACCTCCACACGGCAGCTGTCATTTCTCAGGATATCTACAGCAAACGGGGTTTCTGGTCCCTCCTGTACTTCATAGCCGCCCTAGGAGTCTTGGTCTGAGTTGACAGAAGTTCATAGGCTAGTTTGTTTGCAGGTACAGAGAGTTCTACAAGGGTGGTTGGTGTATGAATGTTGCTTCCATTTTCTTTGGAATGAATTGTTGGATTTATAAACGGCTGTTTTTATTAGGAGTCCTTCATGATCATCAGTGTGACCTGAATCCTGAGACTAACACTTCCATGTAGGGCAGAATAATTCCCGAAGGGAAAGATTTGAGTTTTGCATCATCCTAACAATTATTCACTCCATAGTGCAGAGCGAAAAGTACTGGAAAATAATAGATCATCCAGTTCCTTCAGGACTGTATGTTTGAACTCCTTTTCAAAACGGAGAAATGAGTTGGTATGAGAATGGACTTGTGTATAGGGGTTGTTGGTAATAGGTGGGAGGGGGCTGGAATGTCTCCAGGAGGAGATAGCCCTCCTGAGAGGCTGCCTGCTTTGTTCTAGAATCACAAGCTGTTCTTTGGTCTTTGCATGTCATCTGCAGTGTCTAAACTCACTTAAGCCCCCTCTGTCACGGAATGTGGCATCCGGGTTCCATGATCTCCCTAAACAGTTACCCAAGTAAGACTTAGCCAGGTATTTATACTGTGTCAGGGAGACAAAAAGATGAATCTGAAGAGCTCTGGATCGCCCAGGGTCCTGTGATTAGCAAGGTGTTCGCTCCTCATCCAGTCCTTTGTGCTTTTACTTTTCAGTCTAACCAGGTGTTGATATGCTACAGACTGACTTATGACATTAAAGTCTACTCTTAGGAAACATGGGCTTCCAACCACTTCATCTTAAATACGAGCATGTTCTGTGCAGTATGTGACTATAATTAAAATAGTAGATACTTTCTAGTTAATGCCACTAGCCTTCAGGAAAATAATGGCGCTGTGTTTTGCATTATTTAAAGTGAGAAAAGCACAGTGCATCAACACTGCTTTCTTACGTCGATATGATATGGCAGCATGCTCACTGATAACATAGAGACCTTTCGTGTGTGTGTGTGTGTGTGTGTGTATAATTTAAAATGAACAGACCTATGATTGAGAAGAAAACTTTAATCTGTGCTGCATCCTCTCATGTCTGCTTTTCCAAAGTGGAGTCAGAAAATCAGGGGTTCAAGGTCATCCCCTGATTCACTGAAGATCCAAAGCAACCCTAGGCTAAATGAGAGTGTGCAAAAACAAAGTTTTTTTTTGGGGGGGGGGATGCTGAAATATCAGAGGAAAGAAGCCACAGCCACTTCTCACCTCACCAACTCCACAAATCTTCTGACTAAATGCCTCTGAGTCCTCAGCCGAAAAGGGCTCTTGAGGCCGGGCGGTGGTGGTGCACGCCTTTAATCCCAGCACACGGGAGGCAGAGCCAGGCGGATCTCTGTGAGTTCG